TCCCTACAAATTATGACTTGGAAAGAAGTAGCCTCTCCATTGGTGGCTGAGTGCATAAAAGTTAGAGCTGGGTGAATAATTCTTTCTAATACATTTTGAGAATTTTGTTATTTTCATCCAAGCATTATTCGGGATATATTTTTCCGTTATTTTGCTAGCTTTCTTGCAAATAAGCTGTTATTAATATGAGTATTTGTCTCCCCGGGTGGAAACTGCAGGATATGTCCAGCTCAGAGCCTGTGGGAAAGGCAAGTTCACTGTGTGCTCGGTGAAGCGGTCCCTCTCTTGAATTGGACCTTACCTTGCAGAGGGAAGAGATTTTGCCTAAGCTGGCGGCTATATGCATAGATAGGCAGGATTCCTCTTATCCACCCAGAGGTGTGTTCCTCTAATGAGCTTCTCCTGTTTCTCTCCTGTACTAGGGATTCATGGACATTGACCTCACCAAATTCAAGGAGAGCGGAGCCAACGTAACTGGCTTCCAGTTGGTGAATTACACAGATGCTGTTCCTGCCAGGATCATGCAGCAGTGGAGGAATAATGATGCCAGGGAGCATCCTCGTGTGGACTGGAAGAGGCCAAAGGCAAGTGGTATAAAAAAAACATTTAATTTGGGGTCCATCTGGCTCAGTTCAAGCTATGCTCACCTTTTTGTGATCACACAGAGCTCTTTAATCTCGCTCTGAAAACCTGTCACTTAACATAATTATGAACATTATCTGTTCCAGGTGCCTCAGCATTGTCTAAATTTTACTAGGCAGTAGCTGCTGCCTGCTAAGAAATACACAAGTTAGCATATTCACTCAGTCTCCCAGTTTTTACCCTCCTCAAAACTAAGGATTAAACATATCATAAAGTTCAGTATATAAAAAAGAAAAAGCCTCATTAACTCCTTAACCTTTGACTTGTTTACTACATATCCAGTGATAATAAAGTCTTTCCAGATGTTCTTTCTGAGCATTTCAAATCAGTGTGTTCAACAGAGGGGAAATATATTTTAATTCCTAACACAGTCAGAAGACTCTGAAGCTGTCAAGGGGGGCGTGGAGGGGCAAGGTTGTTTTTTTTTTATCTGACGTTTGAAAACAAATACACTTGTGACAAACACTCAGCAACAGAAATGTCAGCTTTGGAAATATTAGTTTAAGAAAATTGCAAGCAAATAAATCAGCAGGTGATCATAGAAAAAAGAATTAGCTCTAATGGTTACCGTTCATGCCAAGAGTTTTACACTGATTTCTGTACAAGTTTCTGCTTGAATAAACTCATCTTTTGCAGAATTTTTACACATTGAAATAGAGTATTTTGGTCTCCATCTGTGAGCAGAAAGAGTCACTTGTTGCTTGATTTCAAGTATCTCACGTTTACACTGTATACACTTAAATGTTCAGGTCAATGATTCTAATTAAACACAAAGACTTGGGTAACAGGTGAATGGCTTTTAAGGCTGAGTCCTCTTCAGGGAGTGCAATCTGAATCCGCATCAGGAGCTTCTCCTTCACTCCCCATCCTCTGGGAGAGAAGGCACCAACTTTCATGAGTTAACAGGACAGTAGTGATTACAGGGAGCAAAAGGCTGTTGAACTTCATAGATGGAAGGACAAAACCAGGACAAATTATCTGAAAAGTTGCTGTGAGGTGAACCAGTGTAGCACGCCCGAGGTCACCTCACCTTAACGGGCAACATACAACTCCTCTTCTCTTTCTAGTACACGTCAGCCCTAACGTACGACGGGGTCCGGGTGATGGCAGAGGCATTTCAGAACCTGCGGAGGCAGCGGATTGACATCTCCCGTCGCGGCAATGCCGGGGACTGCCTTGCCAACCCGGCCGTGCCCTGGGGACAAGGCATCGACATCCAGAGAGCGCTGCAGCAGGTTCGAAACCCAACCGATGTGTGCACTGTGGGCACGGCTGAACGTAGCCTGTGGGCGAGGGAAAAGGGGTGATTAGCCACAGAAAAACTCAAACAAATCGCTTGGGATGAGGAACTGACCCTTCCAGATTAGAGCCAGTTCTCCTAAAGAGTTCAGGGGTGCATCCAGCAAACTGCTTCTCCTGGTGCCATCCGATGTGTCCTTGCCTTCTCTAATTTCTGTTTGAAGTTCTGGGAAAGAAAAGCATAAAAATATTATCCCGTAAAATCATGGGTCCCTATTTTTATCTTCCCCTTCCCAAGAGAGAGACCTGCTCAGACCATATTTTTTGCAGTTTCTTTGACTCTCTGTGAACTCGGCTTCAGTTCCAGACTGCTAATGAAGTTTGAAACCATGTGAATTTTGCCTTATGAGTTGGCTGTTGTCAAAATGCCCTCAAAGCCCAGATTATAGCTTGTTTCAGACTGTGAGGATTTGTAGAATTCTTAATAATAGCTGTTTAGATAGTTTATTCCTTAAATCTGATAATCTTGCTTTTTCATCCTGCATAAAAATTTAGATTTTTGAATAAACAAAAAAACTAAATGAAACTTACAGCGAGAGAGAAAAACAATACACTCCTACCAAAGACCTAGAAAGGTAGAGCATTTCAAAATTTCATTAAATTTCAAGACTGACATTCATTTCTAGCATTTTTTTTTTTCAGACAAAAATAGATGGATTCCTTGCAAATACTGCTAGTTCAGTGTTATCCAAATATAGCTTATCCCATCTTCTTTACTTAACTGTGAAGAAGGCAAGAAGAACAAAATTAATTTGGTTAAATTTGCATCATATGTAAGTTTCCCTAAGTATTTTGCTTTGATTTGGTTTTGGCTTACTGGTAAACAACAAATCCTTTAAAACCAAATCTTGCATCTGATTTGATTTTATTGCTTGGATTCAGTTTGCTCCCAAGCCTGTCATTGACTTTCTGTATGACCTTGGGCAAATCACTGTCCTAGCTTCTCCAAACTCTTATAACAAAATCAGCCTCTTTGATGCATTAGGGAGATCCATTACCTAATAAACATGAAATACTTGGAAGCCTTCTGATGAGCAATGGGTTCTCAAGCATTTTCCTTTATTGAATTTATGAGAATAGGATATCAAAATTAGACAGCTAGAAAATAAAATTTTGTGTGCCTGTGTTGGAAAATCTCCTCTGAAGTTTCCTCATCTCTTCATTAAAACAGTTTCAAAACACTTAATTTTTCAACTGTAGTGATTTTGGGCAAAGAACATGAAGAGCTATTTCCAAAAGTTATTTCTCTACCATTGAAAAATTATCATTTTCAAAAAGTTTGACCAGTTCAGTTGTGATGGTCAAAATAAAAGGCTCTGAAACATGCAGTGAAAGAAGTCTCCTAGGGAAATTTTAACTATGAATTTAATAATCATCCAGCATCTAGTATTGTAGCAAGAAAGAGGCAGGTGGAAATAGAAGAACTTACAATTAGATTGAAGGTTTGTATTATCCTTTCTACAAAGACTCACAATTAGGACAATTCTTAGAACTATTCACAGTGTGCTTTCTCTTCACCTCCCATTTGCTAATGCCTAAAATTTTATAAGCTGTTTAAAAGCAAAAAGTTTCTCTACTTCATTCTACTCAAATGTCTGGAATAAGCTCCTGAATTGCCTTATTTCTGTTTAGTGTAGGAAGGAGTCATGGATGGCAGGAGTAAAGCTGAAAAGCAATTTGAAACATTCGGCAATTTTTCAAAAACAGAAATCTGACACGTTTCAGCAAAATGTATGCTTTTATTAAAGAGAATTACTTTTTTTTCCAGGAAAATGCTCACAAAATATTGCTTTAAACCAATACACTGAGGTTTCAGTTGTACTTTGAAAAGATCATGATAATTTTTGACAGACTTTTTTGTAACATTGTTTGGTTACCACATCTAGTAAGCAGTTAGCTAGTCCCTAACTGCTGACTAACCCTGTAAACCAGAAGGCCACAACAGCATCCTTCTCGTCCAGCTCTCCCAAACCACATGCCCTTGTCTTGTACACAAATGCGCTTAAATGCTCCATGTCTCCAGTTAACTTTACTGGTGCTTAGTATTGTTGAAATTAGTCCTCATTATATTTTGTAGTGATTCAGGGTGTCTCAGAGGATGGTAAATGGTGGAGAAGTTGTGCTGCAGCCTGCAGGAGGGGTGGGAGAGACCCCTTTTGCCATTTCAGTGCCACAGGGATATCACAGGATTAAGATTTCATTCATTCAGATAGGAGAAATTGATGCTGTACACCTGCCTTTTAGTGCATATAAAACTACAAAGCACCCATGACCTGAGCTTCAGAATCGGTCAAGACCTGAAAAGAAAACCAAAGGGGCCATAAAAAAGCAGGCACGGGAGTGCTTAAGACAATGGTGCTTTTCTAGTGCATCTGTCTTTTATGGGCATGTTGCGTTTTGTGAGAAGGGAAAAGCATGTTTCTCCAAATGTCACCAGGAATACCTCTCGATTTGAAGTAGCTTCAGAAAATACTAGCAGATGTTCATTTTCATGACAAATCTGTCCAATAATAGCTGGAAGACAAACACAGTTTAGGCAGATTAGCAACAGATTTCCTCCATAATGATATATCCTCATTTCTTCACCATGGGTCTTTATTCTGAGGATCTCAGAGTACTTAAAAAGACTGCTAAATACCTGTTCCTATTTTACATGTGGGAAGAGTTCAGTTGCAGGGACAATGGATTTGTCCAAAGCAAGTGGAAAGGCTGAGAACAAATGTTTAATTCCCAATCCAGTAGCATGAGCACTTCTCCAGGTGATCTCTATAGAGACCCAAATTTGCACTCCTTTTCCCATGTTCCTGGTCCCTGCTGCCTGGTCCCCACACACGATATGTGGCTCCAGTTGGAAGCCCTTCTCCATGCCAGGCTGGCCACTTTTGCAGCAAGTCAAATGGCCACGCTGAGAAGCGAAGTTCAGGAAGTGGGATGTGATGTGAGCAACGCTCTTCAGCTTGGCAGTGTTATCAGCAGAGATTTATGATTCAAAGTTTCCTATGCAAATTTCATTTACAATATTTACAATACTAAATTGTCAGGTTTTATTAGGCTGGTGCAGAAGTAATTAAATTTGCTTGTTTACCGAAAGACTCCTCTCTATCGAAAGACAGCAGCTGGGAGCCGTGGCCACGGTTTTGTATTTCCTCCAAATACAGTTCTTGATTTGAAATGACAAATTCTTTACCAAAACCTGACTCCAGGTCAGATTTAGAAAATAGAAAAAACCACAAAGCCCAAGGAGTTCAGAGCTGATATAGCTCACTGTTACATCGCAAGAGGTGATGGGCTCACACATCTGATCTAGCTCTTACGCATCGCTGAGCTCAGTAATAGACCGCTAAGTTTTAAGAGAAAGGGTAAGTTAAGAGAATGGCCAGGCATGCTGTAGAGAGTGAACCTAAGTGAAAGCCTGGTGTCAGGTAGATGTCCTGTCTCCCCTGCACGGATCTGAGAAACGTGACTGCACTGTCCATCCTTCTTCCTCTCGCTTCTTACTGCTGCCGAATCACCACTGCTTGAGATGCTGACCAATTTGCTCTCCTCATTGATATTTATGTCTTTAAGGTCCGTTTTGAAGGATTGTCTGGCAACGTCCAGTTTAATGAGAAGGGACGGAGGACCAACTACACCCTCCATGTGATTGAGATGAAACATGATGGAATCAGAAAGGTAAAGTAGAGAGTGACCTGAGATCCTGTGTCAGGCACCAACCTGGTGTTAGAGTCACGGTGTGGTTAGGTCTCAACAGACGTTTCTGTTCATGAAAGCTTGCATGTGGAGTCGCCACAAGTGCATTCCCAGCTCTCTGCCTGAGCAACACAAAGCACTAGGGAGAACTCATGGTATATTACTAAAAAAATACAATGTATGGAAGGGGTTATCAAGAGCAACAAGGGCATCTCAGGGATTTTCAGGATAGTAAAATCTTGGCCAGCTCAGTCTTGCTATAGGCAGGGCACACTGGCCCAGGCTCAGCTACACGACTGTCTGTTTTTTGCTCTCCCACTTTTCTTTTCCAAGGATGAGCCAAGGCAGAGCCATGCAGAAGCTGTCTGCCCTAACAAGTGTAGGTGAACCCTTTATGTTGACCTAATTCTGCTCTCCTTGAAGTGGCAAGAGCTTTACCACTACCATGTCCTGATAGCTACACAGACATTTGTGCCATTCTGGAGTGTTGATCTCTTTCTATATCCCAGGCACTTTGAAAATTCTGGCCTCATTCAGGGGTGCTGAGCCCTTGAAACATTTATCCTTTTGAAAATCTGACTCCATGTGCTTATGTCCCACTTTAGATACTACATATTTGAAGAACAAAGAATAACTCAGTTATTCTATCGATAAAGGAGAACTACTAAATGTTTTGGAATGGGTCATTCACTGGAAACCCTCTGAACCCCCTCAATCCCCTGAAAAATAAAATACTTGTTTGAAATTAAGAAAAACTGCAAATAGTGAAAGTTCCACATTTACAGCCCCTACCCCCAATTCATACTTACACCTGAGAGCAGCCGATGTGAGATCAGAGCCAACCACAGTCAAGCGAAAAAAGGCAAATTTCTCACTGAGAAATAAAAGAAGTGTCATTTTGAAGACATACAAAGTCCTCCTCTACATGGTGTTCATAAGAGGACAAATGCAGTATTATGTCCAGTTCAGGGCTCTGAACTTCAAGAAGTTGGCAATCTAGAGAGAGTTTAGAGGAGAAGAATCAGAATGGCTAAATGTCTTGATTTTGCTGTGTATTTACTGATAGAAATAATATTTGTTTGGAAGACGTGTACATCACTGCCACGATGCATATTGTATCTTAGATCCACCAGGTTAGAGGTACAAAACAAACATATGTGTCTCCATTTATGTTGCCCTAGGGCAGAGCTTTGGAATCTCTTTCCTCACTCTCCTTTCTTTTTGTCTGTGCAATGAAGAGAGATGAGAAGCCTGCGTAGATTTTTTCTCCTGAGCTGTTATGATCTCTAATCTGCCATCAGCAGGCTCCTGGTCGTGCCCTGTGTTAATACCCTTCCCCATTTACTGTGATAAGAAATTCCTTTCACGTGAGCAGAGCTCAGGCAACTGCATACTTACATGAGGTGGTGGAAAACCTCTTATAAAATCAAGCCCTCAAAGTGGATGACCTCAACAATGATCTTCCTAGTGATATTCAGTGGCACTCTGCTTTACCTGCAAGTGGTGATAGATCAGCCCAAATCCCTGCTTATTAATAAACACAGCTTAACATGAGAGTTCTTCCCACTACAGCTGTTCAGTTTATTCATAACCCCAAACTTTTTGACATTGGCCAGGGGTGGGGTGTTTTTCCTCACTTGATTTTTTGTCCTGTTGCCTGAAGATGTGTTCAGAGTCAGTCCTATGTTCATGCAGGCTTTCAGCTTCAGGATAGTACTTTATCACCCTATAGCATCTGGACATGCAGCGCACATGCTCACCATTAGAAAAATACTCGGAAGTCACACAGGGGAAGTGTGAACTCCTGGAGTAGGGATGGGGCAGGGAATTGCAATAATCCCCCTGTACTTGTGCCAATTGTTTTTATGTGCATACAAGCACTCTGCTACCATAACGTATCATGGACATTATTTTCAGGCTGAAGGCATGGTGGAATGGGGGAGTTCCTGGTCCCCCTGGCAAAAGACGTCAATAATCAGGAAAGGAGATCTCTGGTTGGGTATGAACATACAGAGAGAGATGACCTGCTTCGATGCTGCTGTTACCGTATCTTGGTTAATATTACAATGAGTTATCAAAGAGATATCCTGGTTTTGTATTCGGCAGATTGGTTATTGGAATGAAGATGAGAAGTTGGTTCCAGCAGCCATAGATACTCAAAGCGGCAATGAGTCTACAAGCCTCCAGAACAGGACTTACATAGTCACAACTATCCTAGTAAGTGTTACGACTTCTATCCCAGCTCTCCCTCTCTCCCACCTCCCTGATGTGCAGACTCCCTCTTCCCCCTCATGTGCCCTTCTTGTACTATATCATTTTTATAATAGCAATAATAATAATAATATAATAATAATAACAGCACTTACTGTTTCCTGCCGGGTCCATAAAGGTATCTGAAAATTGCCATGGCTAATTAAAAAGGTATTAAAGAGCTTTCATGCTTAGTGTAGAAAATACAAAAGATTATGACAAGATAGTAGAGGCATCAGCATAGGTAAATTAGGAACATTATACCTGTGCTTTGTATTTAGCCCAGAGAATGGGGGCTGTAATTCTGGGAAGGATAAGCTGTATTGTGCAAAGAGGCTGAATCATAGCTTTAAAAACAAATCTCCACCATAATCGTGAAGGAATAATAGGTACCCCATAATGTATAGTATCATGTATTGTGTCATTGTATACGCTTACCCTGCAGAAACAGATGAAATTTTACTAACTTGTTTGTTGAATACTTACTGCGAGTCTATGGAGAAGACATAATACCCAAACGGAGTTAAACATCTTTAGGGCTCTCTCCTGTCCAGCAGATTTGATTCTGCCTGTGCCCACACAGGCAGACATGCCTTTAAAAATTCAGAGCTCAGATGCACTAAATATCCCTTGCAGAGCTGCACTGAAAGGTTTGTTACCTAAAACCCCTCAGCTAATCCATTTCCCTCGGGTCCATCCCTGCAGAAGCTGCACACAGACATGAATAAATAGAAAATGCCACAATAAAAATCACACTTCGTACCTTCTAAAATGTTGACTGTGCCCTTTGGTACAGGAACATAAAGCTAGAGTTTTGCAAGGGGACCAGAAGCTGGGCTCTAGTCTGAGCCCCTCATATGCATCTCTAGAAATGTGGAGCATGGCTCAATATTGGTCTTCTCTGCCAGGAAGACCCATATGTGATGCTCAAGAAGAACGCCAACCAGTTTGAAGGCAATGAGAGGTATGAAGGCTATTGTGTGGAGCTCGCTGCTGAGATCGCAAAGCATGTTGGCTACCACTATAGGCTGGAGATTGTCAGAGATGGGAAGTACGGAGCCCGGGACCCCGACACGAAAACGTGGAACGGCATGGTGGGAGAACTCGTTTATGGGGTGAGTTTCCAACCTCGTCCATTGTCTTTAGCTTTCGGTACTTGAGAACACATTCAAGCCCTAGAGTAAAAAGGAGCCCTGCCTTCTGTCAGCCTGAGCTGTCTTGAGGACTTCAGCTCTGATAATGCAAATAATCAGCCCAACTAAAACATTTTAATTTAGGGAGGGACGGCACATTTTGTGCCTATGGAAATGTCAAAATGTTTCCTTTCAACAGTTCCAAGATTCTTTTTGTTTCCATTTTCGGAAGAACAAGTATCGAAAAGTCAAACTTTCCCATGGGTAGAATCTCCAAATTTTACTCTGTTTTATATTTGCATGATAATGGCAGGATGAAAGAAGATGTCAAACACTTAGCATATGACTGGTGAACAGTAGGACTAGACCATTTTCTGTCTAGCCACCCATTTCCATCATCTCAGATACACACCTGCACTCTACACTTCTAAACCTGGCTCACTCTGGTAGTTCGCATTCTGTGATGTTTTAAGTCAGAGGGGTCTAATTTTCCCATGTAGAGACAGGGGAAATTAGTGTGGGGAGCATCAGTGCCCAAGTCTCTGTGTCATTGGTAGCTCCACGGTATATGCTGACAGCCTTTTCAATGCATTTCCCTTTCCATATTCAAGACAGATTGTAAGATAAGTGGAGAGTGCACCTCAGTGTGACTGGGACATTTTTCCTCTTCTCCTGCATCAGTTATGCAATCAAAAAACAGCTTCTGATGGAAGTAAACATCCTGGCATCCTTTTTCAGGCAATTGGCCTTTCCTTGCCTCTTTTGATGTCTGGATGATAAAGCTCTTTTAGCGAAAATCATCTGCATCAGACTGTGACATCAGTGAATAAATCAGACAAGAAGACCTAGGTGGCTGCAAAAAGAAAATACGGTGATTTCAGAACAGAATTGGTAATCAGTAGTGATAAAATGGAAATAATCTACCAATATTATGGGCTGCTCCTTTTTAACATTTCTCTTGCAATTGGTTTTGTCTGATTTTTTCTGAGATGGTGGGGGTAAACAGAGATGAAAGGAACATAAGCTGGAGTTAGTAAATATATTTTATCCCCACAATGCAAATCTCTTTTCTGTCTCTCCTTTTCAGAGGGCAGATGTGGCTGTGGCACCATTAACCATCACTCTGGTTCGAGAAGAAGTTATAGACTTTTCCAAACCATTCATGAGTTTAGGTATCTCGATCATGATAAAAAAACCTCAGAAGTCCAAACCAGGAGTTTTTTCCTTTCTGGATCCTTTGGCTTATGAGATATGGATGTGCATTGTTTTTGCCTACATCGGAGTAAGCGTTGTCCTCTTCCTGGTGAGTCGCTTCAGCCCTTATGAATGGCACACTGAGGAATTTGAAGAAGGACGAGACCAGCCGGCCAATGACCAGACAAATGAGTTTGGGATATTCAACAGTCTCTGGTTCTCCCTGGGAGCTTTCATGCAGCAAGGATGTGATATTTCTCCAAGGTGGGTTGCCTTCCCCAATGAACCTTCTTCCAGTTCATGTGATTTAATATTTCTGCATGGTTTGGAACTGAACAGGTTCTTTTTTGACCTTCCTTCCTGAACCATAGTGTAGTTTTCTGAATCAGTTACAGATTCAGAAGGAATCCAAAGGTTCACAGGTCTCACACCCGTGAACTTGGGACCTCAAACTTGGTACCATAAAAATACCATTCTAAATTTATGCTGGGCAGTTCTTTTGAGGGGATTTACAGAAATGCAAACAAGATTTTCTAAAGCCACACATTTGCAATCAATTTTTATCGGTCATTTATTTTGCTGCCGTTAGAAAAAAAGGTCATTCTAGCATTATAGGGAAGCTATAAAATGCCAGTAAAGTAGGGAGAAATAATACAGTAGGTGACCAGTGAAAAGTTATATGGTCTGTGCCAAAGATTATGGAGCACACTGAGTGGCTTTAAGTATTATTGGCCTTTAGAAAGCTCAGAGAAGTACTGAGTTTTCCTTCTGGTTCCCATTTCAGTCAATAGTTCTGCTCCCTGAAAGTTCAGTAGGCCCCAAAGTCCAAAGGGTTCCTAAAGGGACTTTTGGTGGAGACATTTATTCTCTGTATAAATTAATGACTCTTGTGATTACTTTTAGACAATTTTTCTTGGAGAAGCTAGCACAATATAAGGTGGCTGGAAAACTGCGTGAAATGCAGAAGATGTAAATCTGTGATAGAGACACAAGCAGAGACTTATTTCTAAATAATGTCTGGGAATACCTCCTTCATTTTTGAAAGCTGTATTCCCACAAGTCTTCTGAAGAGATTTTGCCTACTGCAGGAGCCCATGAAACACAAATCTTCTCAAAGCCTTGTTCATACAAAGACATTCAAAAAGAAAAGAAAAAGAATTAAAAGCATAAGAACTAAATAACTGCAAGAATGACTCTGATAGATTTTCTTATTTATTTGCACAAGTTATATGTCCAGTAAGTAATGTCTGTAATAGCTGAGGGATCTTTCTTGTGGTATGTGTATATTCACCTGAGGCAGGACCACAGGTGAGGCAGGGATGAGGTTTTTGATACATCCAGTGTTTTGTGTCCAGGGCAGAGGTGCTTAGGGTTTGTGAGGCTGAAAAAGGATTCATGAGCTGTGGCTTGGGATGTGGATCATATGTACCAATCATTCCTAAGAGGTCTGCTCTGGATGTTGGTTGGAGGTTGGTTGGTTGGTTGGAGAGCATATGGACAGGCCAAGCACCAAGGCCACCAGACGCGGCAGGACCCTGCTGTCGTTCACCCTCTCCACAGCTCCAAGAGGCACAGCACGTCACTGCACTGCTGGCACACACCTGGTTTTACATGCAAGCTCATTGGACCAGGAAAGTTTCTTGTCCCAGTTTAGGCTAAGAACATTTTTGGCCAGGTTTGACTCAAACCAAAGGTACTGCCAGTCACAAGAATGAATTTACAGGCAGTATATGCATTTTCTGCATTTACATGCCACGGTGACATTCTGAAGTGATGCTCTGATAAAAGTAGATAGCCTTTTTCTTTTTTCCGCATCCTTCCTTTTTCGGGCTTTCCCTTCTCTTCAAGGAAAATTTCAGCAGAGATACGCATCTTGTGGGTGAACACGGTAGGCAAAAGTTAATTTCCCACATGCTGGGATGGCATCAAAGCTCGGGGGACAAGAAGGAGGCACAACTTCATCGGCAAGCAAAGATAACACTGCGCAGCTCAGCGCAGGATGGCGGGGGGAGGCCAGGCACCAGCTTGTTGGCTATTGGATAGCAATTTGTCTAAATATTAATGAGCTTGGGATAGAGGGGAAATAAGAGCCTGCAGGACACTTTGATAGTGACAGCTTTTATGAATATGTTTTATCATCTGATCTTTGATTAGTAGGAGTCCAGCCAGAGCATTCAGAAAGTCTTCCCAGCAGAGGGAACTTTAACTTTATCGCTGTCTTGTAACACAGCCCTGTGTGTTATGATCAGGTTATTGCCACTTTCATTCTCATTGTTGTTCTTGTCATCATTATTCTTATTTAGGAAAGAGAATGCCTTCCTTTGGGGACATTTCAATAGCCAGTTTGTGTTCCAAGGAGGAGCGTGGAGAGGTGAAAAGCTGAGACTTTGCAGAATAGCAAATTTTGAAACATCTTTAATAAAAAGTGTTGGGGGAAGATCAGTGGTTTTGATCCAAATAACAAGAGTTGCTCTAGCTAAACATGCTTTGAATCACCATTTCAAAGTGTTGTTTTATTTTGCTTTGAAATAGGAAATGAATGATTCTGTCATTGTTATTTTAATGTTGTTAATTTGATCATCCTGATAATGAAAATTACAATTTCATTGAAACCGATATTTTCCCATGGAGCACAAGAGCACTTTCTGACTACAAATATTTGCAAGAAGAGAAAATTTAAAAAACTAAATACGGGCATTATTATAACTCCCAGTACTCTGCGTACAGCTCCTTGTGATGGTTGCAAGTGAAGGGGGACATTTCTGTGAAATGTGAAAGCAAGGAGGATGCAGAAGAGTGAGAATTTCCGTAGGATGTTGTTGTACAGAAAGGCTCTGAGTGCGCTCCGTATTTCACATGTATTTTTCACACGAACCTGGTAAGGATTTCTGTGACACATCACTTAGAAATGAATGCTTGGTAGAATGACATTGTGGGCAGGTGGGGATCTGCTCTATTCCAATATATTTCCTATATGCTTGCTTCTAAACTTATCACTACAATCTCTCAGCATCTCCCCAGTAATGTATTAACCAACATAAATAGCTTCTGTTATACATCTGTTCTGTCATTCTCTCCCCAGCAGAAAGGAGCAAGTGCAGGGGTGTATTTTGTTTTTGTAGAGGTTTTGGTTTGTTTATTTCAGTTTTGTTTTGGGAAGGAGTAGGGGAAATTTGTCGGGAGGTTGTTTTTTTTTTCCAGAGCATGTTTGTTTTAAGTGCATATGCCACTATGTATTTATCATAAAAAAAAAAGTAAGATCAAAACCGCAGACACATCACTCAGCACAGCAGGTGGTGAGGTTTGCAGCAGCTTCACAACCTACCAAGCAATTTAAAGATACACTGTGAATCTGATGACCTGCGGATGGCCAAGACAGAGTGTAGCTGTGGGTTATGTGCTCATAGCCTCTTCTCCCGAGGAGTGAGGCTGCTGGGCATGAGATTGACTGGTGTTCTTGAAGCTCTGAAGCCGTCATGTTTAGGCATAGACTGGATGAGTGTGACGAAGGCCAGGCAGTAACCAGTCATGGAGAATCCCAACAGTAGCTGGTGGCAGTCTGTATTGTGCCTTTGGATGCTGCAACCTGAGCATGAGGAAGGAATCCATCCCTGCTACGCCATGAATGGAACGACTCAATTGTAGGTGCACAGATAGCTTCAACCAAAGGAGGCTGTGAGCTCTTGGACATTTCCCACTGGAGTGTGTGGTCCCCCTTCTGCACCATCACTGACCAGTGGCCCCACTGGATGTGGTTCAGTCACTATCACGTGGACTAATTTGTCCTGGTTGAGGTGAGATGGTCCCTGTCGTTGCTCTTAAAGTCTGTGCTTTCAAAGTACTGGCTGATACACAGCAGAATGAGGGAGAAGCAACATTTTGGAGCAACATGAGTAGTTTCATGTACATAGTAATGGGCAGAAGTCAGTGAAGTCTGAAACAGGTCATAAACCATTAGGCTTTGCAAACTGCTGCCTTAACTTCAGAAAACAGTCATGAAATTGCAAAAGCACTCATTAAATGTGAAATACAGACCCAGAAAGGAGATTCTCAGAGCAGGCATCAGAGGTAATAAATATCCCGCAGCCAATAGCGGAGCCTGCAGCAAGAGAAATGTGAAGTAAATATGACTCACATTGGACCATTTTTCAGAAATGTAATATGATAAACTGTCTTCAGAGCTTAAAATAACCCCAGTGTGTAGCAGCTGTGGAGAGTGGGACCTTGCTAACATCCAGCACGTTGCTGCCATTCCTCGCTCAGGATGGACCCGAGGCCTTTGAGAATGAGACCGAGGGGACGTCTGGGCTTCCCAACCTCCTCTGCAGCAAAACGAAGTATCTGAATTTTTCATCTGCCCCATCATTTTCTACAAAATAAATTATTTGATTGTTGTGAAAAGGATAAAAAAGCAGGGAGCAAAATATATATTTTCGTTGTCAGCTTCCTAGCTTGATCTTCTATTTTTTGTTATCTCAAAATGTGTTGCTTCATATGGTTTGAGCCCAAAAGAGACTTCCTGTATATTGGAGACTATTAAATTTAATCCAGTTACTCTTCCTGTGACTCAGAAAACTTATGTTTGACTAAAATTAAATACATTTGGCTAAAATATATCTTCCAGGAAGGCATTTATTCTTTTTGTGAAGATACCGTGAGATAGAATATACTATGAGATAGAATATACACAGTTTCTCTCAGCGAGTGACTATAGGTGTCTTGTCCCCACTGAAGTCTGACGGGAGGATAAATATCACACAGTATCACCCAGTAAATGCCGCCATTCTGTGTGCCCCGCCAGACAAAAATCAAAGAGAGATCTTCAAAAATAAACGCAGCTTCATGAGGGCTCTCTTTATACTGTGCTGTGGAAAAAAAACACGTGTATTTTGGATTCAGATCAAAACATACCATAAGTACAAGGGAAATGTATAGTCATATCATGACATGATAGGGTATTATGTCACAATACCTGGACAACACAGCTTGAAATTGCTTATTATAATCTGCATGGTTGCGAACAGAGCTGGATATGCCCTGGTCAGCCTGCGCTGGAAGTGAAATGGTGAATGCGGCTTTGGTCACAGCCTGGGTCTGGGAGAGAGCCAGGCTTGAGAGGGGAGGTTTCGAGCGCGTCAGCAGGGATGCATCAGCAGG